TTTAATTCACCCGAGATGCTTTGCGATACGACAATAACATTACGTCACATTGTGTTTACAACGCACGAAAAAAATACTGCGCTTCAAAACAATGACAGAAAAACCTCGTGTACTTCTGAAATAGCCTTCCGATTTCAATGAAAACTGTTTCAAATAGACTCTTAAAATATGTTTTCTATCACAAAGAGACTAGAACAAGCTCAACAAGCTGCTTTCCCTAAGGAACATCAYGAAGAGGAGCATGTGAAAGCCGGCCGAAACGCAGAGAGCACTGTTGTGGCGAACTTGAGACTTTACAGTGGTCTTGATATTACGTCAATCTTTTGCGGCCTTCGCGTTCCCGACGAATATCAAACAAGAAAGCAAGAAATTGATATTGTTTTACTTCTTAGTACTGGAATAGTGTGCCTTGAGGTGAAAAATCTGGGTGGAAGTATCAAAGTTAGTGAAGATGGCCATACTTGGGTTCAGACGAAAAAGCGAAAACTTGGCGACAACTCATATGTCGCAAACTTTATCGAACACGACAACTGCACCACTTTGATAAAAAAGAAAGCTCTCCTTCTTAAAGAACATCTATTGAGGAAAAGCGTATTCATAAACTCCAATCAACTAAGGCACTTTGTTGTTTTGGTTAACGAGAACTCTGAATTAGATGATAAAATACGCAACGACCCTTCKGTAATTACSCCAGAAAAGTGCGAGGGTTTTTTCAAGAGCTTTCGCAAAGGCTATGTCGAAGCCTTTCAGGAAAGCCTTACTCCTTCTTTCGTTTCAGGAAAGCTATCATACACTCAGATTAATGCAGCTCGAGCTGTTCTATCCACGATAGGAACTTGGGATATAATCGAGTTACACGGAGGGAAAAGATTATACGGCGACTTAAAAGATCTCCCTGGCGTCTCAGTTGAACGCAACAAAGTTGAAGCACTTGAAGTATCACATCAGAGAAATTACACACTGGGAATGGTTTGGGCTGCTGTGGGCTACACACCAACAGTTACTGTATCTCTGCTTGAACGAGACGGTAGTGGCTGGCTATGGAACACATACGTTGCAGTGGTCAAAATCCCCTACAACACTGAGGTTGTGTTTAGGGTTTGTGGTGATGAAGTGGATTCAAAGGTTTCAATCAACGATGTTATAAAGATACAAATATCGAAGTGAGGTGAAAAGAACCATAAAAACAGGAGTTCTGAGGCATGTGAAGTAATAAAACACCTTTTCACAAATGCCTGCTGTTTTAATCTAATTTACAGACACCAAAATGTGTCTGCAAGTAGATTYTGTATATACAGCATCCTTTGATATAAGTCTTATCTGCTTATAGCATTTCCAATGTCACCTTGCATACGCMTGATGTCAAAATTAAGTGACATGTTTATTGTTGGGCTGGAGTAGAAATTTGTATGATATGTGTACATAAAGGACTAGTTTGCCTTTACTGTTAGTAAAGTTTCATGGTATTAATTCCTAAATACATTAATATAATGCTGAATTAATATAATTTTGATAGTGCACAATGTATAGTTGCGCTTTTGCTGTTATAAATGTGTGAAATAAAATTTGATGTTGTTTTTATAAAGTGTGCTTTTTTTCCTTCACCATGTCTATAGTAGTATAGTACGTTTATAAAGCCAGGGGTAATATTGCTTGAATACTTTGGTTGTTGCAAATTAACATGGCAATAACAGTGGAAGTSTTAATGAATTTTCATTTATTGGATATTCTTTTGTAGTTTATATTGCTGTGCAGGAAATGTACATATAGATTGCTGTTAAAATTGTATYATAAAAATCATATTGAACAGTTATTAATAATGAACTATAAAATACTAAGACGACTAAACTAATTTAGAATAACATTAAACTGATAATAATTGCAATATACAATTTCCACTGCAACTGTTTTGTTTTATAAAAATAAACTAAATTTTATGCAACTAAACCTTGATTTGTTCCAAAAACCAATAGCTCTATAATAATAATAATCATCAAGCAAAATTTAGAATGAGAGTAACTTCTCTGTTTCCAAACATAATATAGTCAATGAATCAGGGACAATTCTGATAGAGAACTGGAAACATTACTTTATCAAAAAATGTTTTCATAAAAGATGAAAATCACAGTCAAATTCTCTAAAATGATATGGCATACAAACATGCATTCAATCAATAAAAYTAATATAACTAACTCAGTGAAGAAAAGATGAAAATATTACAGACACACATGTCAGGGTATCTTTCCATTAACTTATGTTCATCGTTAGAAAGCATGTACCCTACCCCTCCCCCCCTGAGCAAATAAAACGACTTTGTCTCTCCTTGATCGCATGAACTCAAAGAGCCTTCATGTTGGATTATTTTCAAACCTCCTGGTGATTTTTTGCCATATCCATAGCACTAATGATTTTGTAAGTTCTAGTGGTGTGTTTTCTACTGGTCCCATATGAAGTCTGGTGCTGTTGAAGCTTTCAGTCAGTGAGTTCCAGGCATTCAGCGGCGCAGTAAACATAAGCCAATAAAATATGATATCGGTGATAAATGATGGGATGATATTCCACAAGAAAAAGTAAAACGTGCCATTGACCAGAACTAACTTGGTGCTTTCTAAGATGACACTTGGTAGGTTTCTGAAAAAGAAAAAAAAAAATTGAACAGGATTGAACCAGGTAGCAAAAAAGTATTAATGTCCAAAGACAGAGAAATTCTTGTTTTAAATTTTAGATTTGCTCAAAGATAGTAGAATTATTATCAATAGGCAAAAGACTTCAGACCAGTGTCACTAATTTTGCTCTTAATTATTTTGATTTATTGTACCCATAACAAATAAAAATGACTGCTTAAAACAGACTTTGCACCACACATGATAACTCATTTTGAGTCAACTTACTTCCATCCTCCAAAAATAAGCCAGCGAGACTGAAGTAATTCTGTGATTGTCTTGAGGGTGCAAAACATGACCAATATCCCAACTGACCAGGAATTTACATGGACCCACTGGAATGCAAACTTGGCAATAAGGTAGTATGGTGCAATCATTACTCTCACTAGAAACCTTACAAAGGCTCCTGAAGGTGGATACCACTATTACAAGAGAAGATAAAACAAAGGAATGACTTAATGAAAAAGTAAATATGGTAAGCAATGACAAAATGATAGATACAGTGAAAGTCAGAGATTTTTGCATTCCACTATAACAACTAGACCAGTATTTTTTTAAATGTTTATAATAATACACTTTTACAGCTGTGTGACAAAGGAATGACATGCAAAACAAGAATTAGTAAGTTGTTTACCATTTTACAACATATGACCTATCCTATTATTTATCAAATAAATCAATACACCAGCTACAATGTTCTCTTCCCAAAAAACTCCTTTTCCTCCCTCATTAAAAGTTAATAAAGACCTCAAAGGGTAGAAATTAATATAACAAGTGTGTCTAGACTTACTTCATCATCCCATTCATCCAGATTAAAATTGCTTTGATTTTCAAGGTCACTTGTTGACAGAAGGAAAGGCAAAAACACTTCTCTATGTAGAAACACCATGGAATAGATAATGGTGGCTCGTGGGTATTCACGAAATCCCCATAATAAAAACATACACCGAGTTGGAAATAGTGTCTGAAACAACGAAAAATAATAGCATATCAATAAAGGG